AAAAAAAAAAAAAAAGAACAAATGGTGACTTAATTTTGAAAGGAACAGCTGCATCGGATTATAGCTAAATTGGCATTTTGTTTGAAGTTACAGGACAGGCATTTTATCAATAGAATGACTCCCAAGTGCTTTTCTATCAAGTTCTAGTTTAACGTGAAATTTGTGTCTTGTTTGATTTTATGTAAATCAGTATAACAAGGTTGGCTCTAAGTTTCTAAATTGAAATGTTAAATAAATGAACAGGAAAAACTTACATAGCTCGTTTTATAATAAAACTTGAAGCAAAGATGTATATCTTTTTTTCATCTCCCTCTTTCCCACTTTGAATGAAAGCAAAATCTATATCCTTTAGATTTTTTAAAACGTTTTTAAGTGGTTCTGTGCACCAAGCACTGTACTATTAGGTTTGTGTGTATTACCTATTTAATCCTCACAATTACCCTGTGAGTTAAAAGTACTGTTAGTATCAGCATTTTACAGATGAACAAACTGAGTCCCAAAGGATTAAAGCATTTCAAACCTATGCTGATTGCTAATGAAAGAAAATTTTTTATGGAAGATGAGAGCTGAAGTTAGAAGACGTCTTAAAACATTTTGAAAATCCCTCCTTTCATCTCTCCCTCTGGTACGCTGAGATCTTCTTTTTCCTGTAACTACCAAAGAACATTTTTCTATCCCACCTCAATTAGGTGTTCACTTACATTGTCAGTTAGAAAGGAAAAAAAAAAAAAAAAAACAATCTGCTGTTCATTTGCAATATTTCACCACTGTCAACTGCAGAAACTGTTCTAGAATTTCAGTTTTGTTGAAACCTATTTCCTTTGGATTAAAGGAAAGGGACAGGCATTCATGGTTTTTGATTGTTAGGACAGTGGAGGTTAAGAGAGTTCTAGGAAAGGACACCTCGCTGGCTCAGTCGGTGGAACACACAGCTCTTGATCTCAGGGTTCTGAGTTTGAGCCCCCCGTTGGGTGTAGAGATTGCTTTAAAAAAAAATCTTTATTAAAAAAAAAAAGAGTTATAGGAAGGAGTTCTGTTTAAGAACAAAAATACCATGTGTTTGTGGAAGGAAGTTTTTTGTTAACTGCTTTATGCTGTACCACCACTTAGGAACATCCAAGGATCCTTGGTGAGGATGAAGAGTACCATCGTCTCTTCCTAGAGAAGCACTGTTTTATTGCACTATCTGGTTACAGTAGGGTCTTCAGAAGTTTACCAGTCTAGGTCAAAAGATGGTTTAGAATAGAGGGAAGATCTTTAAAGGTAGATTCATTGTAGTATTTACAAAAAGAATGCCAGAAAATATAAGGATATTTTATTTAACACTGAGTGATGGGAGTTAGGAGGGAGGTAGGATAAGAGGAGAGGGCAAGGAAAACCTAGATATGAAAAAAAAAAAAAGATCTGAGGCTATTAGATTTAAAGAGAAATCAGTTTCATGTGAGGGATAAGTGACAGAAGTAGAATTTAGACTTTGTGTTTCATACTTATAATTTATCTTAGAGTATCATATGTATGCCTGCATCTATTATAGTTAAATCCTCCTAAAATATTTTTTAAGTATAAATATTTCAGCAATCCATGGACCACATCACCCTCATTCTACCGATAATGTTTCTATTCAAAGTTTTTTGCTTTATTTTAGTTTCTAAAAGATGTCGGAATGGGCTTTGGTAACTCTTCAGTTTGAGTTCTGCAACTGATGCCTTATATGCCAAAACTAATTCAAACTGAAACAAATTATTCATTTTCCTTTAAAAATGAGTTAAAGCTAAGTTTATATTGTCATGGTTCTCTTCTATCTCCTATTTTTTCTTCAGGATATTGAAACTTTTTGTACTTGAGCCTTAATCCAGTAGTTGCAAGAGTTCACATTTGAAGCCTATTTATCTCTCAGTTGTCGTTGACAATATAGAAGAATACAAGAATTTCATTCTCCCTCTTTCCCACTGTGTCAAAATACTGTATATATGAACAAATAGAACCCTTTGAGGCTGCTGGGTGGCTCCATTGGTTAAGTGTCCGACTCTTGATCTTGGCTCAGGTCTTGGTCTTGGGGTCGTGAGTTCAAGCCCCACACTGGGCTCTGTGCTGGGCATGAGGCCTACTTAAAAAAAAAAAAAAAGAAAAAGCAAAAACGAATTGTCTTTAAATCAGTCATCAAAGGTTTCCTAACTCTGGTAAACCATCAAGGGGCTAGTAATGTGATGCACTGCTATTCCCTTAGCAACTTGATTTAGCTTCTAAATGTGCTGAAAGCCACTTTGTTTCTGCAGGTGAAGTGCGCTATTTCAGACTGTAGTGGTGTTAATTAATTGAAACATTTGATGCCTTGAAGTAATAAAGGCCAAATTAAATCTTATTTTAATAAAGTAGTGTATACGTGTGGTTTATATAGTGACTGCTTATTTTGTGTTTTATTCTTTTGGCATACTCAGCTTTGATACTGAATTTTCATGAATGCCTAAGTTTGTATGAAGCCACACTATTTTAAACAGAGAAGAATAACACAGCAAATTCTGTTTACCTAATGTAAGGATAGTTGAGTTCTATTCATTAAAGCAAGAATTTATTGGATACTAATTCATTTGCATAGCTCTGCATTCTCGATGCTACTTAAGAAAAACTCACTTCCTCTCCAGTGAGATAAGACGGCATTTGCTATGTGATTAATAAAAGATGTGTGTGTTTTCATGCATTTTATATATCTCTCATTTTTGTCAAGGAGTTAAATAATTTGTGGATATATTTTTAATTGTTGAACATCTTTGGAAAACTGATAACCTTTTATATTCATCATGTGTATGGAGAAACTGAAATTTAAAGAGTGAACTCACATTAGCAGAACCAGGAACAGAGTTTAGGTGAACTTAAGAATATTGTACTTTCTGCTTTATACTAGGCAGGTTCTCTATTTTGTAATGCTTGCACTAGACCCTTTGGAATACTTGGGGGAAAGGAGGAGGTTGTCATAGTGGGTCTTTGGATTAACCGGAACATGACCGAACATGTTTGGCATGACTCCTGCAAGTAGTGGTGCAGGTTTTGTAGGTGTGGTTTGATTACTTGGAGTATGTAGAACCTGACAGTAAGGGCCCAGTATGTTGTATGAAAGAGAGAGAGTTGGTTTCTCAGGATATTGTAGCGCTGAAGAACCTGGCATCAAGGCCAGAAATTGTCTAATAGAATCTTTTTATATTTATTCCCAGTTTATATTTAAAGCAGAATTTTGAAGAATTGTCGTATAATTGTGTAATCCCCTATAATTCATCCTTACACTGTTTAAAACACGCACAAAATACTTGCCTATCTGTATTTTCAGAAGGTAAAGATAGAGAATAGAGAAAATAAATGTCAGATTTGGTATGCTTTCTTTTACCCTTAAAACCTGCTAGTCACCATGTTGAAAAGACTGATTTCAGACAATTTTCTTGGGCCTGATGATTAAGCTCTGAAGTTTCTATGATTAGAACAAGGAAATAATTATTCTGATGGATGGACATTCACATAATATCACCCTTTTCCAAAAGAATAACATCATCTTTTATTAAATACACAATAAACATTTCACATTTCTCTTCAAGACTAGTTAGTGGCATTTGCACTAAAAAGACAAAAAGGCAGCCACTGTTAGGAACTGTATCCCTTGCTGTGTTTTTAGATCTTTTTTATTGCAGTTTATATTTTTCCTAATGTAGAATGTAGTTAAACCCTATAAAACTCACCTGGTAACTAGATTCCTAAGAATCTATCCAGATGAGTCATCTAGATGATAGTTGAGGAATAGTCAGTAAATGGATATTAAATTATTAAATTATTAAAATTATTAAATTATTGACAAAGGATCTTCCCTAACCTTTCCTACCTCTTTTTTCTACTATCATATTCCCCGTGCTCCATCCAATCCAGTAGTTGGCCTTTTGACTTCTAGCAAAGTATGGATTCTCTATTTTTCTA